ATCTTGTTTAGACATTATATTGCTGGGATATTTCACCTTCCGTCAAGTGAACCCTATACTTGTCTGTAATGCTTTAAAAAAGCAAATTTATTGATAAATAATATTACCTCATGCGCACGCGCAGATTCGTATTATAGTTTAATTAGCATTATGTTTTTTTGCAAAGCGATATCAAGGTATTTGGAAAATGGTAACCCTAACCGAGTATGTTAGTGGCGCGCATGCGTAGTGAGAGTTAGAATATGTAGCAACGACCTGGAACGCGCATCGGCTCGAATTAGCGCCCGTAAAGAAATTAATATTTTAATAAGCATTTGCGTGCAGGTGACAGCTAAAGGTTTTCCGTAAATAAGCGTAACTCTTCGCCATATTATAATTAACTTCACGACATAAATTGTATACGTCCAGAAGATTGAAGTCTTACGTAGCGTAGGGTTAAATTTTTGTTTGCGATTATTGCATTTTATTCTACTACATATACATTATGTTTCCTTCTAATTTTTATAAATTGTATGCAATAAAGTCTCAATAAAAAATCATAAAAGAGAATAATTCTTAAGTATAATATAGAGATACGTAATAAATACCAACAACATACGCATTTATTCCAGTCCCGTATATATTGCGTTTAGTAAAAATCTATTAGAATTGGAATTATTTATGCTGCTGCAAAGGACTCGAAACATGTTAAAATTTTCACTAATATATTTCGCGTTTTAACCGTTAAAGTGTTTTATTTAAATGTGTACTACTCGCGTAAGCTATAGACAGTATTTCATTGTTAATAAATTAGCAATTGATAATTTAGTGGTCGTAACCATCCTCACACAATTAAAGTCTAAGCTCATTGATTAACACTTTTAACGGTTTAAAACGCGCTACGGCCTGAGTTTTTGTTCTACTACCCGCGTAAACAGACTATCCTTAAGCTGTTTAATATTAGTTTCAACGATGTACTTTATAAGTTTCTTACGGTTTTCACGATGGAAAAGTTATATAATTATAAGTTATACTTATTCACTTACACATTGCAGGGTACATTCCGCTTCGTATACCACGAATATATAATTTGCCCTTTTGAGTTTAAAAAGCGTGTCATTTTATTGTCAGGTTCTATAATGAAGTAAAACAAGAGAAACAGTTATACAAAACACTACTTTAAGGAAAATACTTAATAGCTTATTTATATCGCCGCGTTGCGTGAAGCGCGAGGGGTCCTGTATTCGAATACCGGGGAAACGGTCAATTGTTTCGGTAGGGAAAGGCACAGGATTCTGATCAACTACTTGCCAGTGAAACGGACACAGAAATGTGTTCGCCCCATGTCCCCAGGTAATTAAAGTTTTCGTAAACATATAGAGAGCCGTGATGCTGCAAAGCTGTAGTTAGAATAATTTTCAAATAAGTTTAACTAATATATATCGCGTTTTAAACCGTTAAAGTATTTATTATCTATATTATATGTCAGAGGATTTAAATCTCCCGCAAATTCTAAAGATTTGACATTATGTGTGACGTGGTGTAACGTCATGCATAATGTCAAAGTGGCGGGTTTTTTATCGTGAATGGAGTGATGTAAAGAATTTATAAATAAGTAATTTACCATTGTTATTAATAAGAACAAAGATTGCCGAAATAACTTAATTTGTTGTTTTATTCAGGTAATTCTTTTTTAATTAAAATTGTTGTAGTAGTTTGTGTAAGTTTAGATTGTTAAATAACAAGAACATTAAATCTTTCAGATTAAAGCAACAACACGTTGTATTTTGCATAAAACATCATAATCGATCGCCTTATATATATAATGAACTCTAAAAGTTGCTGAGGAAGTTTGAATGCCCTTTTCGTAGATAAATGTTAATTTACTTCAGATATCACTCAACTTTCTCCCTTTCTCCAGCACCAATTAATATCTAATGTACTGATAAGCCTAACGTTACCAAATTAACGTTATCAAAGATGTCACTATGAGTGAAGACGAGTTATAATGCTTTTAGTCGTGGATCTATCTACCTATATTAATGACTAGCGCTGTCAACGACTTCGTCGGCATAGAATAGTTCTTTTGGACATTTAAATTTGTTTTTGAAAACCTCCTTGAACAGGAGGTTTTCAAAAACAAATTTAATAAAACTCTATAAATTTAAGGTATTACGCGCGACTTCGGTCACATGCCGTCGTTCTTGCAAGTTAACATTAAAAAGTCGACATAGAGTGTCGCGGACATTTCTTTTTCGATAATTTAAAGAGTTATCATTATTTCCTACATATTTTGGGTATATTAAACTGTTTTCGCACCGTACCTACCTACCTACGTATCGGAATCTCACAATGTTTGATCACTTTTCCCGTTTTTTCCACATTTCTCGCTATTTCTTCGCTCCTATTAGTCACAGCGCGATGTTTTATGATGGGCTATAGCCATTTTCGATAAATTGCAACCAACACAAAAATAATTATTCAATTCGAACTAGTAGTTCCGGAGATTAGCCCGTTCAAACAAACAAACAAACTCTTCAGCTTTATATATTAGCATAGATTTGAGGTGCTTCCATATCTACATCACTGTTTCTTTTCGGCTATTCAATTGCTTTATCCGTTCACGTTTCTACCACATTCTTCATTTACTGAATAATTATTATTCAAAAGAAATAATAACAAAAATGATATGTATGACTAATACTGGACCGCTTCTGTAGCCAAATTGTTAAACGTGTTGCCTAGCATTGCGTAAAGCTCGAGAGGTCCAGGGTTGGAATCCTAGGGAAACAATAGATTGTTTCGGTTCGGCAGGGCACAGTAGTCAACTACTTGCCCGCAAAAGAACCGATCAGTGAAATGGACACAGAAATAAGTTTGCCTCATGCCTCACGGCGGGAAATGGGACTTCACTACTATGACTAATACTCAAATTTTGTATAGAACTAATAATGTATATATAATACACGACCTACTGTATTTCCTTCGATTATAATAAGCAAATATTCTTATGTACCTAGTATACAAACTATATGCATTTTTTATCCTATGTAAAAACGCTTCTATATCATTTTATCCGCATCATCGTCATCATTTTGCTGATGGGAATCCGGCGTCCTATGTTAAGATAAGACTAAGAATTAAAAATCGATTTAACATTGATAAAATTTACGACAAGGGCAGTACTCGAACCGGCATTTAAAGCGTTCTGTGCTGTTGCTCGGTGTGCCAAGTGCATACACAACTAGATTGACATATAAGTCCATCTAAAATAAAGGTATAAAGTCTGTAGTTTACGCGAGTAATACACATTTAAATAAAACCCTTTTAACGGTTTAAAACTTATTTAATTTATATTAACCGTTAAAATTGATTTTTACAAGGTATAAGGTACTCAATGTTCTTCGCGAATTTTCTCAAGGTTTTTATTTTTGAAAGTCATTTCCTTTTGATATGCGGCATAAACAAAGGCGCTGTGATTTAACTCTGATGTCAGAGGCAGGTCGTTGACCTCGGTAATTAAAACACAATTACAATGAAATTCTCGCGTTCTGACAAAGGTCCAGTTATAATATTTGTCAAAATCACACGAGCCGCTGCCGTTAACTTTGAGTGGTTGTAATGGAGATTGTTAAGGACTGGACGCTTTTTTATGATAGATAATTAAGATGCGCCGTCGATCTATTTTGACTCAGACTAAAACCGATAGCGCCCACCTTGTTTTTTCTACAACCATCTTTTATCGAAATATGTATATCTAACTTAAATACTGTCTATAGTTTACGCGAGTAGTACACATTTAAACACTTTAACGGTTTAAAACGCGACATATTAGTTAAACTTATTTGAAAATTGATTTTTAACTTCGGCCCGACGTTTCGGATGCTTTGCAGCAGCCATGGTCACGGGGAGACTATATATATAGAGAATATATCTAACTTATACAGTTTTACGTCTTGATAAGAAATGCATACTTTAACTTGAGTTCGTAATATGTACTTGAAAATGACTAATTAATAGAGTGCTACTTTTAATACGAGTCAATATATTAATGCAACTATCCTTATGTTAATGAACAAAGAAAACTCAATCTGACTTTACTTAATCTTAATACCTTTATAGTTTCTAAAGTGACTATTCTTCAATGTATAAAATAATTTAAATTAGAGCATGACGCTTTTAGAAACTTGTAAGTAATTGGAAAACGAGTTTAATTAAACTTTTGTCGCGGTGAGTACGAAGTTTGGCTACAACTTTAAGATTTATCGTCTAGTTTTAGCTATTAGTGTTTTTGTAAAAATGAAAAACGTTAGAATTGAAATTCTTTGTCTGTTGAATAGATGTATCAAAAAAAGGCTTTAAAATATTAGAGTTTAGCCTATAAAATATCAGGCAGTGTGAAATTAGGAGAAAAAAGGGAAAATTATTAGTCTTTGAAGGCTTTCAAACAGTTCATGACACCAAAAAATCTATATAAAACAATGGATCCTTTTTACTATGAAACTATCTATTACACGCGTACGAAGACGCAGACATAGCTTGTTATTAATTTATTATACAACCATTAAGACGGCAATAGCCAGTTACATTAATTGGATTCACACATAGTTAAACAAGTACACTTAAAATATAGATTTTATACAAATTAATATATTCGCTTAAAAATAGGTTATTACAAATTACATTAGGAGATAATTTCAAAGGCAGACAATTCTTTTGGTATTGATTGCACATCAATACCAAAAGAATTGTCTGCGAAGAGGTCCCATTTGGGTCTTAACTTGAGGAGAGCGTTGAGTTAGATCAGAATTCGCGGTATCGGCGTTATAAAAAGGACATCGAAATAAGCTACAATGTACACTAATGTATTGCTTTTAATTAATTTGTTTTTTTTTTTATGCTAAAAGCCTAGTGTTATTACTAGTAATTATTGAGCGTATAAAACAATTGAATTATGTTTCAGGGAGTGTGAAGGCGAGGTGCAAGTGCTGTGATGCGCTGCGTGCGCCTTCTCACGACTTATGCATGCCGCCCGCGCACCCGGTGAGTTCTAATTAAAAGGCAATTTATAACTATAGCTGACCTAGCAAAAGTATTTTGATATAATTTGATTACCACAAAAACGCTTCTTATGAGTTAATCTTAAGAGATAGAAATATACTTTCGCGGAAAATTTTCTAGATAATTTAAAGAGGAATAATTCTTTCATACATATTTGAACCTTATAGATTGACTTGTTCAAACAAACAAACTCTTCAGCTTTATAATAGCATAGATCACATTAATCCTTAAGTTAAATAAACTATAAAGAGAATTGTTGAAAATATTTTATACAGTTCTAGTTTTCATGGTTTTCAGTTACCGCAACCACGTGCTTCTATTTTGAAAACAGTTGATTACACTGCACAGTTAAACTAATGATATGAAAAGAATAATATAATAAATATAATAGCTTAAATTAACAACATCGTTATGATTTCCAATTATAAAGGTGCTTAAAAATACTAATAAATAAGAATATCCAATTTGAACAACAAACAAAAATTCAAACATCTAAAGAAACTCATGGTTATAAAAATTAATTTAATCTGATTCACAAGTAAATATCAAAGAACAGTTTCAGTTATATTTTCACTTTATAATTTCTCTTTGACTATAGTCTCACACAAAACATCTCATTATAATCGCAAGCTAAGTAAATAAGAAAGAGAAAACACACTGAATTTCGTGGAAAGTTCACGAAATAATTCGCAGAAGCGTTTTCAAGTGCGCCAAATGCATCGTGTTTCGTTGCATATTTCATGAGTTTAAATGACTCTGATAGTTGAAGAATTCACTTTATGTTGAGTCAGGAAATCTTATTTAATGAGTTTTAGTCGTTGCAAAACGGAGGAAGATTTCAAATAAGAAATGCCTTAATATCAATAACAGTAAATATATTTTCAATCTATACTAATATAAAAAGCTGAAGATTTTGTTTGTTAGAACGCTCTAATCTCAGGAACTACTGGTTCGAATTAAAAAAATATGTTTGTGTTAGAAAATGTATCGAGGAAGGCTATAGGCTATATAATACTCGGCTCTGACTAATAGGAGCGAAGTAGCAGCGGGAAATGTAAAAAAAAAACGGGAGAAAAAATTTCATCTCTGTGGGTTTCGCTGCGAAGATGGTTCAGGATACATAAAAAACATGTATGAGAGAATGATTTTTTTTTCAAACAGTACATGTCTATCTCTCAAGATGAACTCGCAAGGACGACGGACCCGTACGACAGGTCGCGAGCAACGGGACGTCCAAAATAACGAAGCGGAGCGGACGAAGTCGCTGACTCAGCTAGTTATAGATAAAAAAACCTATTGCAGATAAATATCGAATAGTAGTGAAAATTTTTGTTCCTAACAGCACAGTAACTGTCCTGAATGTTCGATTTTATCTTGAAATTGCTCAAGCACTTCAACAACAAAGTTTAATTTTACTCAGAGTAAAATCAGGTGAAGATAAAAGCAGCAATTAAAACAATGAAGAATATTAAAGGACAGTCTGACTTTGCATTAAATCCTCCGCGAAGTTTTAACTTCGTCTTAACTACTGTAATTGAGCGTCGCGGTTCTCAGCGTTTTGTAGACTTGGAGCTTTCATATTTCAGTTTTAAAAGAACTCATTACCATAATGGCTCTTTCTTTGCTGGATCTATGTACCTACAATTGCTGCTTATTGTAATAGCTAATGCATATACATATATACGCTTTGATATATATATATATATTTTTATTATTTATTAAATTTATAAATTAAAGTGTATATATAACATAAAAATACCTAACCTCGTTTAAAATTTTGTAAATTTTTATAGTTCTGAAGCTAAAAGTGTAAACTTTTAATTGGCTTTCTGATATTTAATATATTGTATATAATTCCTATTGTTATTAACTGTAAGTTTTCCATGTCTGAATAAATAAATAAACAAACCTATTTATATCCCATCCACCTACTGCCTAATTCTAGGCTGGCTTTAAAAATCAATTTTGTTATCTACTGTCATGTTCACTAGTCATTTCACCAACGAGGCAGTAACCTAGAATAGAATACTGCAAATATTTTCTATTAACTAGTAGTAGTAATTCGTTTCCAACCAAATGTATGCAAACCCAAATTATAGTTTTTAGAGTATTTGTCTGTCTTTTGGAGAAATAATCTCAATCATAAACATTTAGATCAATATTTTTTTTGTCTTATACTTAAATTATCCCGCAATTATAAGGTATAAAGTTCAAATTACGCGTGCGAACTAGCGAGTATCCCATACATAAATTCAAACAATAAAGTGATAAACACGCGCCATTCTTGCTTTTTATTTTTCTTTACGAGTCATAAAATCTGTCTGCAAGTTTTTAGGTCAGCCGAGATTAATAAATATTGGCATTTTTAAAAATTTTCGGTGAAAGTGATACTTCTGTTTCATCGTCGGGGTTTTTACTAAAACGACCACAAAAAATTGGTAAAATATTCGCCGTTTCTTTGATGTCAACGAATTCAACAACATTTTTAGGTGGCAAGATGAAAGAAGGGTTAGGAATTTCAGTGATAACCCGATCCTTTTTCATTTTTTATATCGCCCATAGTAAATAGATGATAAGATTAATAAATATATGAACCGTTTTATTATGTATGTATTCAAATATTTTTAAAGAGCGAAGTGAAAATAAAACAGACAAATTGTTACTTTATACACCAGGTAATTATTTACTATCCTAATATGTGGTTAGTAGGTATTGAGACTATACTGTTATATATCCGAATATTTTGGTGGTCAACGGACCATAATTACACGTTTAACAATGTAGGTACATACTGTTCTTAGTTTTTTTGTGTAGCGAAATATTGTCGTTCTGTTAATGGTGCAAGAGGTACCTGAATCGATAACAACCTAGGTTAAAAAAATCGACCGTAGCACACAGTTAATTGGTTAGAGCGACAGCACGAAACGGCGCAGATGCTGGTTCAAATCCCGCCTGTGTCGTCATTTTTTTTAATCAAGTTTAATATAATAAATAAACATTTAAATTGAAGAGCTCTTTGGTTCAATGGTAGCCCCTGTATTCAATTCCCAGCCGGTATAATCAATGTATTCTTTTTCTGAAACATGTTAGACAACACAAGTTTTTTTTGAAATTTTGAATTTTGAGTTAATGTTCGAGATAATAATATTTCCGAGTTCATTAGTGAAGACCGTAAATATATACGATTGGCTGCAGTCTGTGGATTTTCGAATGGGCTGACTCCAAACACAAGTGGACAGTGTATTAATTAGACGTAATATGAATGAGATATTTCACTTTCAAGTGAAGCTGGACTATCCTCCAATGCCATAAAAAGTAATAGGATAGTTAGCACCTGAATACTAAAGTATCTACAATCTCAGAACTTGTTTGATCTTACATTATTTATAACTTTCTACCCATATCCTCAGCTAATATGAATCCATTTACATCATTTTTCTCTTGAAATAAAGGCGGTTATCGCAAAGCACTAATGTGTGGACTACCTATAACCAAACGATTGCTATCAAAATGTTGAAGCTGCACATTAAGTTAGATATTGCTTATAAGAAATTGTAATGAATTGTAGATCACTTTTAAGATACGTTGTTCTATTAAAAGAAATAATTACCTATATCAGACTAGCGGAATTTCAATAGTGAAGAGGAATGTTTGAACAGTTATCTACTGATTTTGGGATTTATATTCCCCGTCGTGTATCTAATATTTTTTTTAATGTATATTATGACAATCCGGTAAAAAACACTATCTAGCTCAATGGTTAAATAAATTGTTTCACTATTTGCGAAAAGACCAGGTTCGAATCTCGGATAAAAAATATTAGCAGCAGCAAACAGATGGGAAAATCGGTGTGTACAGAAATCGTGAGGTATCATGTCGTCAGTCATCAGTAATAATTCTAGAGTAAAAAGATCGACAATATATGTGTCTGTAAACAGTCTTTAGTCTTTTATTACAATATGCTTAGTAGGGGCCCTATTACAGTCTAGACTCTTTTAAATAAAACACTTTAACGGTTTAAAACGCGATATATTAGTTAAACTTATTTGAAAATGATTTTTAACTTCTTGTCACGGGGAGACCTCCCCGTGACCACGGCTGCTGCAAAGCATCCGAAACGTCGGGCCGAAGTTAAAAATCATTTTCAAATAAGTTTAACTAATATATCACGTTTTAAACCGTTAAAGTGATTTATTTAAATGTGTATCTTCTCAAATAGAATAAATAATATTATAATAAATGGTAAAAGCCAATAACCTGATTTACTCTCGTCAAAGAACTGCTTAGCCATCGAGATTCAAAGAAATTCATCTATAAAAGTTTTCGGTTCATTAAATTCAAATCATCTGTTTTTACGCCCCGTGCAAGGTGGGAACTGATGAGATTTACTCGTTAAATATTAGCTCGAACGCTATTTAGCGTTTCGTGTGTTTACGAACATTTCATTAGAAATCTTAGTGCCAAGGATTTTTAAAGTAATCTCGAAATTTGAAGCTTATCTCGAAAATTAAAGAGTTCGTTAAGTTTAAGTAACTTAGATAAGATAGTAATAAATTATTTTTAGGTTAAGCTCATTTTGTATTATTGTTTATTATAAGTTTTAGTAAGGAAGTTAAGTTCTTTTTCTGCTGTCACGCATTCCTTTTTGTTACTGAATTTTCACTTTAACCACGGTTGTTTGGAAGAGATAGGGATTATTATTAATTTTTATTTTTTTGTTGTTTTGTTTTGTGACAATAAAGCATATTTGTATTAGTTATAGGTATAATGCTCTTTTTGGTTTCTGGTATTGTTTATTTTATGGTTAAGTATAGTATTCAATGGTTGGTATTAAATATGAGAGCTTATTAGTATTCAATACCAACATATAAAAAAATCAACAACTTAGAACGTGAACTCTAGTTGTTCATTTTTTGGAAGCTGACATTCTGATTGCTTACAACAATCAGTAGCAGGAAAGGGGAACACTTCGTGTTTAAAAA